TCATTCCATTCAGCCCCATAGAGAGGCAATGATAAATTTGGTTAACAATACTCTCAATTCTGAAACTCAGTCCAGGTGTTCAGGCCCTGAGATTATGAAATACACTCATGGATTAAAATAAAATGCAAAACAAAGCAATAAGTCTATGCAGCGTAGTAAATTGCTTTGTGTGGCTTTTCTACCCATGTTGTTGTTGTTACCTGCCGTCGAGTCAACCCGACTCATAGCGACCCCTCCTTGGGTTTCCGAGGCAGTATCACTATGGAAGTAGGATTGCCCAACCTTCCTTCTGAGGAGTGGCTGGTGGGTTTGAACCGCCAGCCGTCTGGTTAGCAGGCGAGTGTCTTATCCACTATGCTACCAGAGCTTTGTAAACTCTAAGGTGGGATTTGCTATGAGCAACTGAGGAACTCCTGATTGCTGAAGGTGTCCACCTGGAGTATTTCTGTTGGGAGTGGCACAAAACAATGTTCTGGGAGATGCCCACTCTCTCTCAGGTGCTTAGAGTTCTGATGCTGTGACTGGCTAGTTTGACCACCCTGCTGGGCTCAAAAGGAGGCCTCCTAGAGGCAGAACTCTCTCTGACTGCTGGCTGAGGAAGGAAGCACTCATGCGAGAGATGTGCTGCTTACAAGAGACATGCGCTGCTGCGAAAGAGACTCAAGAGACACACATTACTGAGTGAGACACCGAGGGACCAGCACTGCTGGGAAAGACTGTGAGAGACTTGGCTGAGAGACGGTGGGCTGGGAGAGAGACTGAGCGTTTTTTTTTTTTCCTGAACTTGAATTGTAACCTAGTGCTTCCCTAATAAACCTAGTAATCTGTGAGTTGTGTGTGGCCACTGCAGCGAATTATCGAACCCAGGAGAGAGGTGGTGGGTGCTTTGGGAGGAACGGTTGGAGAAAGGGCTGGAGGGAGGCAGCATGTCTGGCCTTGTAGGAATAGGCCTTGGGTTGCTGCTGGTAATCCTGTCTTCCTCTTGTAGGATTAGAGGAGGTCAGAACATGTGGCCTCCTTGCCATTTTTGCAGTCTATTATAAGTTGTTCCTTCAGTGAGGACAAGGGTCAATGCTTGTTCACCTTACTATGTGCTATGTAGGTGAACAAAGAATTGTGAGTTCTTAACAAGAAGCAAACAATAACCAGTGAAATAATAATGAAGCTATGATTAAAAAAAAAACAAAACATAAAGAAAACTCTAATAGTCTCCTATTTTTATTATTAGATACCTTTTCTTTATAGGTAAAACATACTGCTGATTTTATCCACAGGGCCTTCATTAGGGAAGCTCCCACTATATGAAGGTCTTTCTACATCTCTCAGTGTTGGGCATACAAAGAGTCATCATTTACTAAATCTTTGTTCTTTTTCTTGACAGCCATTTAGAGAATGCTAGGCATTCCAATCCCAGTCAATTTCTGAATGTAAATTTTACTCCTAATGGAAAAAAAAGTAAACAGATATTGAACATTTTAATGATATGTGTACTGAATGATTGAGGGAGAAGTACACTGGTTGGGCAATCTACTTCCATAGTGATACTCCCTCAGAAACCCAAGGGGGGTGGTCGCTAGGAGTCAGGTCCGACTCAACGGCATGTAACAACAACAAATACTGACGTCAGAGGAGCTCTGGTGATGTAGTGCCTAAGGCATTTGACTGCTAACCAGAAAGCTGGTGATTCAAACCCATCAGCCACTTCATGGAAATAAGACTGGGCAATCTACTTCCACAAAGATTTACCGCCTCGGAAACCCAAACAGGGTCACTATGAGTCGGAATTGACTAGATGGCAGTGGATTTGGTTTTTTTCGGTTTTATACTGTCAAGAAGTCCTGATGGAATAGTGGTTACATGCTCAGCTGCTAACCAGAAGGTCAGTGGCTTGAACCCACCAGCTGCTTGGTAGGAAAGAGATGCTTCTATAAATATTTATAGCCTTGGAAACCTCTGGGGCAGTTCTACTCTGTCCTATAGGGTGGCTATGAATCAGAATCAACTCAAAGGCAACATGTTACTATTTTGTTTTATATTAATGTCTGTGATTTACTTTGCAATGCACTGTAAAGTAAGATGAATGATGGGCGGTGCAAGTACAGCTGGGACAAATATGTGCTAAAGCAAGCACAACAAAATGTCAATGGTAGAATCTAGATGGAAGTGTATGGATGTTCACTGTAAGTTACTTTCAATTCTTCTTGATGTTTGAGAATTTTTATAATACAATATTGGGGAAATCCAGTCATACCTCATTTTATTGCACTTTGCAGATATTGCGGGGGTTTTTTCTTTCTTTTTTTTTTTTTTTACAAACTAAAGATTTGTGGCAATCCTAGATTGAGCAAGTCTATATTGGTGCCATTTTTCCAATATATGTGCTCACTTCACATCTCTGTGTCACATTTTGGTAATTCTCACAATATTTCAAACTTTTTCATCATGCTACTGCATACTTAATAGACTATTGTATAGTGTAAGCATAACTTTTATATGTACTGGGAAACCAAAAAATTCAGTGACTCGCTTTACTGGAGAGTTGCTTTATCGTGGTGGTCTGGAACCAAACCCACAATAGCTCCAAGGTATGCCTGTATAGATTCCTTTATAAAGCAAGAAAAGATAAATAAAAAGAATATGAAAAACATTTATATTATGTGTACCACGAAAGCTATTAAAATAAAGAACTCATTCCAATTTATAGGGAAAACATTAAGACCTCAATAAGGTAAATGGGAAAAGATTAACAAAACACAAGAATGAAATAAGCCTATGCAAATGTATTCACTAAACTGAAAAATCCTCTGCTGTGACTGAGTGGAACTGCTCCATTGGGTTTTAAAGGCTATAACTCTTTATGGAAGCAGACTGTCACATCTTTGTCCTGCAGAGTGGTTGGTGGGTTCAAACCACTTGCCTTTTAGTTCACAGCTGAAAGTCTTAACCACTGCACCACTAGGGCTCCTAAATATTCACAAACCAAAAACAACCAAAGCCACTGCCACTGAGTCAATTCCTACTCATAGTGACTATGGTAGTTCGGTTTGTATGTCAACTTGGCTAGGTCTGGTTGAGTGGCTGGGCAGCTGGCTGTAGTATTCCCCATGAGGAGACTGGTAATCAGCTCCATAGTGGAATCTACTGGGAGTAGCTGAGTAGCTGCCTTTGGGTATGTGGTCTGCTTCCTGTATATAAGGAGAAGCTTTGGGAATGGTCTCTAACATATGGCATGCTTGGACCCTGCATGTAGCTGTGTCATTGCTCAGCAGCCTGCCATGCTCTGTCGACCTTGGGACTTACAGTGGACTTAAATTAATGGCCTGCCATGCGGATTGGTAACATCAGGACTGTGCCTTCTTACTTGTCAACCTTGGGGCTTCTCAGCCTCAGCAGCCAGCAGCTGAGTAAAGAAACGCCTCTAGCTCCAATGGGCTGGGAGCAGGAAGCAGAGCTGGACCCCAAGGTTGAGGGGCTTTCACCCAGCCCCAAGAGCCTGGCACTTTGAACGTGGACTTAAAGCCTCCAAATTGTAAGAATAAACCCCTGTTTGTTAAGACCATCCCATTTGTGGTGTATTTCTTGTCAGAGTGGCACTAGGTAACCAGAACAGTGACCTTACAGGACAGAACAGAACTGCCCCACTGGGTTTCCAAGGCTGTAAATCTTTATGGAAGAAGACTGCCTCATCTTTCTCCTATGGAGCAAGTTTAAACCATCAACCTTTTAATCAGCAGTCAAATGCTTTAACCAGTACACCACCAGAGCTTTTTTAAAAATATTCAGTTACCTCTAATCAAAGAAATTCAAACGTAAGCAAACCTGAAATACCACTTTGTACCTATTTTATTAGTCAAAACTTAAAACACGTGTGCATAAGCGCACACACTATTCTGGCAAAGGTACACTGAAAATGATACAGTCACACACAGCTGGCAGCATTCACTGTCAACAAGCACAGCCTGTTTGGGAAACAATCTGGCAGAACATAAGTCACAGGGCTCATCAAGCCCTTGGACCTAATGGTTCCTTTCCTTGGAATATGAACTACATCAGTCAAAAGAAGCTAAAAGATGTTCACTGCAGTATTTACTGTTGAAAGAATAAACCAGGAACAACACAAATGGTCATCAGGAGAAAAGAGATTTAGTAAATGATGATTGTTATAGACTGAATTGCATCTCCACAAAACATGTGTTGAAGTCCTAACCCCTGTACCTATAAATGTGACCCTGTTTGGAAATAGGTTTTTCTTTTGTTATATTAATGAGGTCATGCCAGTGCAGGGAGGGTCCTAAACCTAATAATTTATGAGTTATAAAAAGAACAGCCATAGAGACACACAGGGGAAAGATAGATGCCAAGGGACTCCTGGGGCTATTAACAAGGAAGGACGCTTCTCTAGAGCCAATGCCTTGATCTAGCCTCCAAACTGGGAGACAATAAATTCCACTTCTGGTACTTTGTGCTATAATAGCACTAAATAACATTAGTATAATGGAACAGGATATAAACATTTTAAAGTGACAATAATGGAAGTTTACGTGGAAATATGTAAAATGTTTTAATATACGATAAATTGAATGATTTAAAAATGATTGTTAGACTGTAAGAATAAAATGTGAATTGGTATTGCAAAGGAACATGAATAATTAGTGAAGATGCCATGTTATATATGAGGGAAAGCAGCCCTGGAAGCCCAGTGGTTGAAGCCCTCAACTGCTAACTGAAAGGTTGGTGGTTTGAACCCACCAGCCACTCTGCAGGAAAAAGACAAGGCAGTCTTCTTCCATAAAGATCACAGCCTTGGAAACCTTATGGGGCAGTTCTACTCTGTCCTATAGGGTTGCTACGATTGGAATTGACTTGACAGCAACAGATTTGGTTTTAGTATATATGAAGGAACTGTGGCTGTTTTTTCTAAAAATCTCTTCAATTTGCCCATACATCTTTCAATTAAAACAAAACCAACGAAAAGCCCAGCTCAAAGACTGTCTACTCACAGTGCTGAGTTTGCTGCAAGTGATGAGTATCCGGCGTTCGTAGAGCATGCTGGCGTACAGATGTAACATGTTGTTTACATCCACAGCCACAAAATATTCTGTCAGATTTCTCTAGGAGGAAGAAGAAGGGAAGGCTTATTGTTTTTGTTCTTATTACAAACAAGTATCTAATAAAAGCACAAGAAACAGAAAATAATCAGAAAGAATACTTTCTTCTTTCCCTATCCTATTCTTTCTACATGAGATACCAAGAATCACTCATGTGTAAAACCATGAAACGTAAAGTTGGAAGACACCTTTCAGATGAAGCAGTCTGGGCAATTATATCTTTGGGTGCTGATTACAGTTCATAGCAAGAGGTCATTTAGAGCACAGCATCCACTCCTCTATCAGTTCTATAAGGTAAGCAGGACAGGAATTCTGCAGTCTTACAAATGAGGAAATGAACGCTCTGAGGGATTTGCCAAGATCAAACATTCTCATAAAGGATGAAGCCAGGACTGTGGCTCAGATTTTCTGACTCCAGATCCCAGAACCTTCCCAATGCACTGTGCTGTACATCTAAGCAAAAGAAAGGACCCAAGCACCAAAATGTTTCTGGCACTGAGCCTACTTCTGTCCAACAGTCCCCACCATGAAAGCCACCTATGTGCCTCTCTTGCCAATTTACATGCTCTAAACCAGCTTAGCCAGAATTAAAGCAGTTTCAAAGATTTATAATTTCCAGGTATTTCATTCAAATGGCAAAAAAAAAAAAAAAAGAAGAAGAAGAAGAAAAAGACAAGTAGCAGCAAGTTGTGACAAAGCAGTGTTTTAACTAGCTTTTCTCTCTAGCCTGGGCTTCAGTCTTTCAATTAGTACTACAGATTGGTACTCTTCAGATTCAGAAAAAAGAAAAAAAAGTAATGTGTTTCATTTCTGCATCTCTTTCTATACCCACCTGACTTTAATAGTACACATGAATATGCTAATTTCTTCAATGTTATAGGTTTTCAATGTCACACAATACAATTCTCTGAAAATGAAGGAGGTTGGGGAGGGAAGGAATGCTATTACCAGGGGTTGCAGTTTATAATGATTAAAGATCCATAACGCACAAATTCAAGTAAACCAGGTGGGTTTTATATGCAAAATAGCACAAAGTGCTTTTCAATAACATGGGTTGGGAATAAGAATAGGGATTTAGCTTATGATTCATTATTGTTTTACTGTAGGTACCAGGTTAACCATCAACCTTCATAAATAAAGAACGAGTGAACTAATACTTCCATATACTGATTGCCCAACAAGTGCCAGTCACTGTATGTGTAATCTTGTGTAATTTTCACAAAAATCCAAAGAAATTAGTTTTTGTAGAGGTTCAGTAATTAGTGAGGGCAGAATTTGGCCTCAGATCTGACCATATTATAGCTCATAGACTTTTCCTACACTCCACTGTCCCTCTTAAATATTTTTAAACATCTACAATGTACAAAGCTTTACATATATTATTTCACTCAATCTTGAAACCACAACTTAAACTAGGAATTCTCAATGGCAGGGTTTTTTTTTGTTGTTGTTGTTTTATTTTTGTGAGGCCAGTTTATATACAAGATGAGAAAACAGAGGCACTGAGGAATAAAGTAATTTGGCCAAGACCACATAGTAAGTGATTAAATCATGACTCAGACCTGGATAGATCTGTCTCTAAACCTTTTCTTTATACCACTCAAAAATGTCAGGTAAAAATTGTATTTGGAAAAAGAAAGTATAGCGTAGGAAGAAAGCAGGATCAAAGTATGCCTAAATTGTTTAGAGAGAAAAAAATTCCAATAAAAATCATGGCTCAACTTTCAGTCAAATGACAGGCCTGTAAGTTTAACAGTAATAGCAGGGAGGCATGCACTTATTAGAACAATCAACCATATGAGATCAAAAGCTCAGAAAGTAGGAAGGGTTGGAAAGAAAGACAAAGGGAAATGATAAACACAGGGAGGAAGTGGGAAGAGTGCTGTTACATTATGGGGATTACAATCAATATCCCAAAATAAAATGTATATGAATTGTCAACTGGAAAACCAATTTGCTTTGTAAACTTTCACTCAAATCACAATTTAAAAAAATTATAGCTATCGGTTCAAACCCACTGGCCACTCCTCGGAAGGAAGATGGGGCAATCTACTTCCGTAGTGATGCTGCCTCAGAAACCCAAGGAGGGGTCGCTATGAGTCAGGTCTGACTCGACGGCACATAACAACACCAATATCCCATAACTACTGAGTAATACTTATGTGCCGGGAGCTCTGGTGGCATAGTGCCTAAGGCATTTGACTGCTAACCAGAAGGCTAGAGGTTCAAACCCACCAGCCACTCCTTGGAAGGAAGGTTGGGCAATCTACTTCTGTAGAGATACTGACTTAGAAAACCCAAGGAGGAGTTGCTGTGAGTTGCAATCAATTTGACGGCAATGAGTTTGGTTTTGGTTTTGGTTTATGTGCCAGGCAATACTGTACCTGTGTTATCTCTAACCTTCCCAACTGCCCTGTGAGACAGGCATTATCATTTCCATTTCATAGATAAGAAAACTGAGGCTCAGGAAGGTTAAGCAGTCTACCAAAAGTCACCTAGCTAGGAAGGGCAGAGTCACGTTTCAAAACCAAGTCTTCTGTGTCTCCTCTAACCACCGCACCACACCAACTTGCCTCCTAATAAACTTGATGAAAGACAAAGCAAAACAAAACAAGAAATGAACGCCAGCCTGAATTATTCAACAAATGCATCTCTTGCTGGATGGACTGAGGAGTGCTGAGCTAATGATGTCAGGGCGGGGTTTGCTCTGAAGACAGTGACATGGCACAGCTCTTCTTGCAAACAAAAATAGGAGGCCTCAGCTGAGCATTTTAGTAAAAGCTGAACTGCTGATGAATTATATGAATTTTTCTTTTAGGAGAGGATGGAAGTAAAAAGAAAATAGAAATGAGGAGCTTAAAGAAGGACAGAAAGCCCATTAGCACTTTTGACAGATCCAAAGATAACTTTGAAGCCACCAAAGCGTGGCCTCCAGAGTCTGCCAAGAAGCTTCACGCTGGGTAGAAATATGTTACACAGCTTGCCGTCCAAATAGGGAGACACAGCGTCAGAGACAAATCCTGCGCCTTATTTTGGTGGGAGAAAAAAGAAAAATCACAAGGATACTTTCAGGGAGGGGTAAAGGAACATCTCTGAAACAAAAACACCATTTGGTGAAGGTAGAGCCCCCATCTCCAATCAGACTTGGGGGACTCAAGGTGCTTGTTCCAAAAGTTCCACACAGGTATGTTAAAAATATGTAACATTTAGCCAAATTCTCTCTAAACTGTCATGTACTTTTTTTGGTATTTCTCATCCCATCTGTGCTGATTACCAAGATATTTGTGTCTAAACAGAAGCTGTCTTTCTTATCTGCTTCCTCCCCTGCCTCTTTCCTTCTGGGATGCCACCAGCCTGAGTGGGTGGGAGTAGGTGGAGTGGTGACAACCCTGGGAACCTCACTCAGCCGTGGGAGCACCAGTAGGGTAGAGAGGGGCCTTGGGAGCAGCTGTAGGGAGCAAATACAGCTCCCATTGAACTGAACTCAGAAGAAAGCTTCCTGGAGGGATTGCACCCCCTCCCCCAACTTTAAGCAGCCAGTAGCTTAGTCACAGCCAGTCCTCAATTTCTCACACCTGCCATGCCTTTTCACATCCCTAGGCCCTTACCTCTGCTACTTCCTCTGGCTAGAATGCTCTTCTCTTACTTGAGAATATTCCTTTACTTTTCAAGACTCAGCTCAAATGTCACCTCCTCCTTGGAAGGCTTCCCCAAACTCCTTTGTGCTTCCACACCAATTTGTGTTTATCTTATGACTACTCAGCTTTAACTATGCTTTTGCCACTAGACTGAGATTACTTTGGGTTAAAAAAAAAAAAAAAAGTATCCTATCACCTAGTAGTTTGATGAAAGAATGAGTCAGTCTGTGAAGGAAGCAAGTGGTTGATGATGTCTTATCCTTAGCCTGAATGTGAGTAGTGTGATGTAATAAGAAATGTACCAGTGTAAAAAAGAGAGAATATAGTATGTTAGGAAGGATATAGCACTTAACTTCAGAAAACTTGAGTCTGAGTTCGATGAAGTAAGCAATTACTTATTAATAGTGAAGGGCCCACCAAGTATTGGTATTGATGTTGGAGACTGCACAGAGGTAGGTAAATTAGCTGCGTGGGTACCTTTTTAAGACCTCTGTGGCTGCATTTATTAAAAGGATATGTATCTAGGTGGTTTGCTCATTGGGTGACTATGGGGGACTGTGCATAGAAGCAGGTCAATCGTGTTTCTTAGATGGGTAAAATCAGAGTGTAGGGAGTTGGGGATAAAGAGAAAAGAAAGCTTCCATGCCATTTGTCCAAGGACAAGATTGTAGCCAGAACATATTATGAGCTTGTATTTATAAAAGACATAGGTATGTCTTAATGCCCTCTCTTACAGCACTTTCAGTGAAACTAAGTTCTCAGCATCCTATTTCTGTCTCCTATAACCAGGCAATCAAAAAACATGTATTTAACTCTTACGATGTGCCTAGTACCATCTGAGGAGCTGGGACTACAGAGATAAACAAGACATGACATCCATTTTCTAAGGGGTGGAGGGTGGTTATATTAGACACAGAAACTCAGTGTGCAAAGGACAGTGGTCAAGGCTACATAAACTCCAGGGCTGGCTGAGAAAGGAAGAGGGGCTGGGGAAGACTTGACATTTTGTTTGAGCCTCCACATTAGGGGTTCACTCAGTTGGCAGAGGAAAAGAGTATTCCAGCAGGGGCAAAGGCAGAGAGGTAAGAGGAATTACATGCAGGTCAATATAGTGAAGGATAGGGTGCAGGGTGGGGGACAGGTAGGACAAGGGAGCTTCGTTCAGATCCCATGGGAACCTAGACGTTACTCCACAGGTAACAGAGAGCTGCCGAAGGATTTGACATGGTCATTTGTGTTTCAGAAAGATCATTCTAGAGGCCATGTGGAGGATGCATAAGAGAGGGCAAACAAGAGGCAGGGCAATCAGTTAAAGGGCTACTGCCATATTGCAGAAAAGAAATTATTAAAACAAGCAAACTACTC